TGATTGCTATTTTCTTGCTTTTCTTGCGGACTCTGTCTGGGACGCCTTTCTCTTTTTGCCGCCTGCTTCTTGAACAGGCGCACTCTTCTTGACATTGTCAAGGTCTGTTTTGTCACCACTTGACCCAGTGGCCATAATAGTGGGCTTGACATCCGAGAGATAGCACTCTCGGGCCATCCTCTGATCTCCCCTTAGGGAGCCGACTGTTCCATTATCCCTCTCAAACTTGAGCAACATAAGAGACGGGATTATAACAGCCTTGGAATTATTCAGGGTTGGTCGACCCAGAATCATGTTGTAGGCCGAGAGTTCCTCTACTACTAGGAACCGGACTACCATGTGTCGTCCTTCCCCTTTTTCGCCCAGGCGAATGGGTAAATCTACTCGTCCCAGTGGGTGGACGACTCCTCCTCCAAACCCCACTAAAGGGTGGGAGGCCGGATGTATGCAGTTAGTCTGATATTTCAGTTTCGACAGACATTTGCTGCTGATGAGATCTGAGGAGCTCCCGGTATCTATGAGGATTCGGCCAACTCTCTGGTTGGCCACTTTACATTCAATAACGAGAGGGTCATCATGCGGCCCCCTTACCCCTCCTAGATCCTCTTCAGTGATGACAATCTCAGGAAATGTATATTTGGACGGCCGTTCTTGGTGAACGGAATTTACATATAACCGCCTTATATTATCTTTGTTGCCCCTAATAGTGGGGCCGCCTCCTGAGAAGCCGCCTGCAATGGTGTAGACGACTGCATCATTTGTATCGGAGCTGTCGGCCTGTTGATTATTTTTGGCCGACAGCTTTTTTGAGGAAGTGTTCCGCGTAGATTTCTTGACATAAGTGTCAAGATCACCTTGCTCAGCCAGGCGGTCTAGGTACCGCATAAGACTGATGCAGTCATTGGTGTGATGACCAACGTCATCATGATAAGCACAGATTTTATCTTGGTTCCGGTTGTTTGCAGAACCCTTCATGGGGACCGGCTTCTCAATTGAGATCCGTCCCTTGATTTCTTTTAGGATAAACTGGTTATCCTTGTTAAACGCATACATTGGGGAGTATGGTTTGAATTCTTTTTTCTTTTTCTGGGCCGGCTGTTTAGAGGAATCAGCCGCCCAGACCTCTTTTCTTTTCTCATCTTTGTTTGACGACTGTTTCTGTCGTCCTTCTCTTTTGTCGAACCTTTTCCCGTCCGACTGTTTTATCGTACAAAGATCAGTCGCCTGTATATAGGCTTCTGCTTCAATCAAGGCCTCTTGAAGAGTCGGTATAAGCTACCTCATCCGGTAACCCTTGAATCTGTATTCTCATCAGGTTAAACCGCCTGATGAAAGAACGAAGCCCCTCCTTCTCGCCCTGCTGAATTGTTCCCAAATCAAGGGTCGTTTTCTTCGCAGGGATGTTCATGGCGAAGTTGGAGGCAAATAAGTAAGCAAGCGTCCTGAAGCTATTTACACAACCAGTCGGCAGGTTGTCGAACCATCGCTGTGCGATTCCTTTGAGAGTCGCTGGGAAACACTTGCACCAGGTGGGATCATCCAACCCTTGAAGGTACATCAGGTTGGTGAATGCCATCAGATGGTCTTTTGGGTTAGTAGTGCCGTCATAGGCGCCTACTAGTACATTTTTCACTTTGGCCGGCTGAGCGGCTTCAGTAATTTCCTTGGAGAAGGCCGACGGCTGTTCACCAAGTCAAGCAACCGTAGCTGCCAGTCCATAGGTTGGACGTTTTTTGCTGTAGGTCCACCAAATGGAGGTGGCTGCATAAAATACTGTTGTTGCGGCACAAATGGTAAGTTTGGTACCGCCTGGGCACTATGAAAGCCGGACTGACGGGAGGTGCCGCCTGACTGACTCTCATGGTACGACTGAGTATGCCTCATCGAGACATTTCGCAAACTGTCTTGAAAGTTTGAAGTAGAAGCCGACTCTGACAATCGGTCACTCTTCTTCTGCTCTAGCAGTAGCCGAGCATCTGTGAATGTTTGCTTCGACCCGTCCGCCTGAATATGACGAACCGGTTTCCTATTTCCTGTAGGATAACGGAATTTTGTGAAATCAAGGGCTGGTGGCTCCCGCTTCCTAGATTTAGGATGAGGAGTCGCCTCTCGCCCTTGAACTGGTTTCCTCTTCAGTGAAGTGGAGGGTTTCTTGGCCGACTGCTCCTTGACTGGAGCAGTCGACTTCTTGTTGATCAACTCTTGAATCTCTCCCTTGAAGTCCCTCATGAAGATCATGAGTTTGTTCCTTGTGATGGGAGCAGATCCATCAGTCGGCTGTTGCCGAACAGGCGGTGCGCCTGCTAGCTCGCTTCCTGTTTGAAGATGCTCCCGTTCCCTCCTTTCGGTATGACGGGTACGTCGGGTTCTTAGGGTCCCGTCTGAAGCTGTATGAGTTTCAACTTCAAATTCACTTTCGGTGTCATGGTCCGACTGAACTTGAGGGTCGTCTAGGGGACGCCTCTCTTCAGGAGTCGGTACAGACTTGGATGCCATCTCTGAAGTACTCTCCCCACAGACGGCGCCAAATGTTTCGGGGTTTTCTGATGTCCTGCGGGAGAGTTACAATTCCGAGACTGGAACCGGACGCCTGTACCTGCAAAATAACGGAGACTCCTGTGAGCTCCGCCTCCAACGGTCAAGTTAGTACCTGATTAAGGAGTAATTAATACGGAAATTAGAGTAATAAGGTCTCTCTAGGTGAGAGTGTTTAATGTAGGTAATCTGCTTTGTTAGCGAGATCAGCCGGTTATTAGTGTGTTCCGTAATGTTTTTCGCGTGTCCCCTTAATGAGGATTAAGGGAGGTATTTATAACCTTGGGAAACGTGTCCATCCTAGGTTTAGGTAAACCTAGGGCTGATTGGGCTTCCCTCGGAAGTTGGGCCTGGGTGGCCGGGTTCTCCATTAGGCATGGAGTATGCCACATGTCGTGACATAACAGGTCCAAGGTGGACGAATAAGCGCGTGCCACGTGGCAAGTCCTGACAGTTCCAACTAGGAGACACTTGGCAGGACCTGATTGGTCCACTTGGCGCATTCCGATTGGTGGGAGCAAAATCCTTTAATCACAAAGCTTTTTGAATCTAATGAAAGTAAAATACATTCAAACAAAGCTTTTTGAATCAAATGAAAATCAAACACATTCAAACAAATCTTTTTGAATCGAATAAAAATCAAATGCATTCAACGAAGCTAATTGAATCAAAAGAAAGTCAAACACATTTAAATAAATATTTCAGAATCAAAGGAAAGTCAAATACATTCTAACAAAGGAAATTAAATCAAATGAAAGTTAAAAACATTCAAACAAAGCTTTTTGAATCAAATGAAAGTCAAACACATTAAACAAAGATTTTTTAATCGAATGAAAGTCAAATGCATTCAACAAAGCTAATTGCATAAAATGAAAGACAAACACATTCAAACAAATCTTTTTGAATTAAAGGAAAGTTAAATTGTAGGTAATATTTCAAGCGTTACCCAAAATTTGAACCTCACTGTGATCATACACTTAAGCATGGTGGCATCCAAAGGGAAGGAATCTAGAGCAAAAGAGTCGCCAACAAGTTTTAGGAACTTTTAAACCGTTCACAAGGTGAAGGTTACACCCTTTAACGATCCAGGAGATCGTTAACTCTAATAGGTCTGGTACCATGATTGGTGTTCGGGGATGAGGGTACAAATCCAATCTAAAAAAGAAAGAACTCGCTCTAATAATAGGTCTCTACTTCATGGGCTATAGGGGCATAGTGATGCTTGGTCAATCACTTGGATATGCATGAATGATGCAGGATCGAACTAATGACCTGCTTTGAAGTTCATTCAAGTATAGAGTTTCCGGATATATTAGTGGATTCCTTTGATATGAGTGGAACATTGCTTTCATTCAATGGATGTTGTGACTGTGGTACACTCAAACGTCTACCCCTAACTGGAGATTATAAAGGGTGCTTCCTGATGATTATTTCAAAAGTTGAGTGGGAGCCTTGTTGCCACAAGATTGGATTTAGTCTACCTATTAAATTAGGAAATGTGTCATGGCTGCTTGAAGAGGGATAATTCAGAAAATATGTGGTCACGTTCAAATGCATTACTTAGTAATCATTTGGTTTTGTAATTCTAACTCAGATTTTAAGAAACGATTTGTAGATTAATATGATCTCTACATGTGATGCAATCATATCATCAAACCGACACATATTGACTTAAGGAAATAGAATACTGCTCGCTTGTCTCAGAAAAGTGAGAGATTGAAGGATTTATGTCTTCGTCGTGTGCAATTACGTACTAGATATATAAATGGGTCAAATTATGGAGATAATTAAGTTCGGACATTTGGGTTGTCGTTTTATCATAGCTAGAGGTACTAACGATCTTTGGGCTAGTAAAATAGCCCAAAGCCCAATTGGACGGATCCAATAAGGTCACACAAAGGGTCTAGATCGGGCACCAGAAGACGAGGCCCATGATGGGCCTCATCCCTAGTATGGCTAGCCATATGGAGTAGGATAAGAGAGTTTTGGGCTTCCTAACCCTAGTCTAATTATAATATGATTATAAATAGACTAGGTGCCTAGGGTTTGCATGTAACAAGAATTCAATGATCATGTAATACCCGAGATTTTAAAACATGATTTATTATACTCTAATCTATATTATAAGCTTGATTAAGTTTTAATCTCTATTTTGACTAGTAAGAATGTTTTAGTCTTAACTTTTATTTAAGATTATATTATTCCGGAAGCAAATTTTTCAAAGAAAAGTAATTTATTCTAAAATTTATTGCGGGTAAAATGATATTTTTATATTTGGTCAAATATTTAGAGATTTGCATCAAAATCTATATTTTATACGGGAGAGTGAAATGACCAAAATACCCTTGCTTATCATAAGAGACAAACCCCACGTCCCCACCTCTTCCATTTAGCTCTCTTTCTTCACGATTAAGTATTGAATGCCAAATTAAGTTTTGTTTGTTCTATTACTTGTTGCTCAATTTTGCCAACCAATCGAATTTGATTAAATAAGCTTAGCTTAACCTTGAGCTTATCCAACTCCTTCACGGTTAAGAAATAAAAGTAGACAAAAATTGCCTCTTCATGTGCAGTGGTTCCTATCCTTCACGGTTAAGCAAGAAGTAGCTTTAGTGGAATTTTGCTTCCTTGCCATTTGTTGCCTAAAATCCATGATTATCTCTAGCAAAGCTTGATCTTTATCCTTTTCATTCATTCATGTTCTAGCAACCATACTACTCTATAAATATAAAACGCCATAACCCCTACCGCAACCACCTCTACCGTCCTTTGCTCTAGGCGACCAAGTTAACGGCTGCCTCCAACCTTCTCCTCCCTCATTTTATAGCTTCGTGCTTGATTGCCATCTTGCCAAGCCCCTTATTTTTGTGTAAGCCCATGTAAGTCTACTATTTTTTAGGATTAATAATCCTTAACATTCCTTATTGATTATAAAATATAGTAGTATTTGTTTTTCTTTTAAAATGATCATAGTATCATATATGTACTTACGTACTAATATATTTACCCATTTCTAATAAAATGAGTATTTGACTATTTATGTTGTTTTCATACTAAAATAATTAAATAGTATATAGTTTTAATCATTTTCCCAACTCATGCAATAATTTATATTTTTTAAGAGGAATCATACCTCGGAGCTCAATGAGAACGATAGAATAAAGGCTAACAAGAGAATAAAGGCTAACAAGAAGGTTATCAGACTGAGGTAATGACTATTGCTACTATCTGCTATTCCCTTCAAAATGTGTTTATTAAAGTATGATGTTACGATTGAACTGAACGTGATTTATGTCTTTGATATATTTTATGATTTGCGGGATTATAACTATGATTTGTCTGAAATCTTTCCCTGAAATATATGATTTTATGAGAAATCAAAAGAATATTGTAATGATGAGTTTTATGGTACACTGTAAATATTTTATAAAGATATTTTACTATTTTACAAAAGCATTCTGAATGACTGGAATTTCTTGATTTCTATTAATTTATAAGAAAATGTAAATATATCTGATATGATTGAGTAATAGCTCCACTAAGGGCACTGGCCCATTACTATTATGGAGAACTGGCTCCCCTTGTTAGTAGGATACGTCTTACCTCTGTTAAATGTATAATGATTATAATGATTTTATTAAAAAGGTTATGAATGAAGGCTTATTGAAATGGTGGTTTATTACTCTCCCTGATTTATTAACTAAAATGAATTAAAATGATGTTAGGCTGCTAGAGTAGTATGTTATTGAGTCTTCGGCTCACCGTTTTTATGTTTTTCTGTTTTTGGTACTGCTGGAACAAAGGGAACACATAGTGGCAAGGATTTAAGAAGCTCACTAGTTATTTATAGTTTTAAGATGATTTAATAATTAGCAAGTAAGACTTTAGTAAGTTTATATGAAAATAAGATATTTTATTATTAAAGTAGGATTAATTTCTGTATTGGGTAGATTTCTTTATTATATAAACTAAGGTTATTAGGTATGAATGTTGCCTTGTAACTCTCGTGAAGGAGTTACGGCAGTGACGTCTTGACCAAATTAGGTTAATTCCGCTGCTAAGATTACCTTAATATGTGAGTTAGAGGTCGGGGCGTTACAGATCAGTATGATCAAAACCCGAGTTAGCAAACACGAGACCTAGCCCTCTCAAAATCTCCTCTCTCTCATGGCTCTTTCCTCTTCCCTTACGCTAGTGTGGTGGTTCTTGGTGGTGGTGGATCGTGGTGGTCGGTTAGTCCATTAAAGGTGGTGATCGCGGTTTTCCTCTTTCACTCGACCAATCTAGTATTGGTGGACGGCTCGTTCAAAGCTCGAGGACTAAGTAGAGGAGCAACGCTTGGGGCTCTAATCTCTCCTTGATTTGTCAATCAATTGCTACATGGAATTCATGCTTTAAAGGTATGATTATGTGTCTTGTGTGTTATGCATGCGATCTTGAGATTAGGTGCTTGATTAAATATGATTCATGATTTTTCGCTGCATAGTAGCTATAAACTCCTACACCACTCTCTCACGGTTGGGTCTAGAGATAAAGGGGAAGTCAAAGCATAAAGCTTAGGATCAACTCCCTTTAAAGCCATAGTGGATAGTGCCAGTAAAACACATTGAATGGTTATGTGGATAATTGGTCACCATGAATATTAGCAAGTCCGTAGCTACGAACTTTTTTGGTAAAGTGAGTCCGGCCTATAGAGGAGCAAACCTTTCTGCGTTTAAGTACTTGTGCCCCATTGTAGAACGAAGAACAAGCTTCTCCAACGACTTTTCTTTGATGGATAATTGTTCCATCTTTTGTTGCAAGGCTAAAGCTTCGGCATTTTTCTTTTCAGTTTTTTCAAGTTTCTTAATTCTTCTCTCCTTGGCCACTTGAGCCTTTTCCTCTCTCAAGCGAGCAATCTCTTCTTGAAGTTGCTCTATGGTTGACATCGTTGTTGGACTAGAACTTGTTGTACAAGGAAGGTGGTTTGAAAGGGGTGGATTGTTTTATGGTAAACGTAGAATGCGAGCGCCCGGGAGACTTTGTTCCCATGCTTGAAAACCGACCCTAAAAGACGTACGAAAGGATAAGTAAATCAATACGCTTGTTTAGGAGACAAAAGAAGAGGAAAGAATGCAAGATATATTCGAACGGATAACATCACCTTTAAACAATTCTTCAATGAAGATATTGTTTGAACGAGCCAATTTGTTTCTCGCAAAATCAAAAAGACTCGTAACAGTAGGCGCACGCAAGTAACTAGGATGCGTGCGGAAGGCGCGTGCATCTTAATCTCTTGTGCTGGTTGTGGTCGCGTAACTCAATGAGTTGCGTACGCAACCTGCTCTTTCAACTTTTTTATAAAAAAATGCGAGCGGTTTTTTTTTTTTTTTTGGATTTTTAACTCTTTTTTTCAATTTTTTTTATGTTACCCTTTGAATATGACTCAAAATTATGAATAGACAACTTCGTAATTGGGAACCTAAACCAAACTAAAAATAAAAAAGAAAAAAGCTATCTTAACACATCACAAACAGTCATGTTAATCTTATAAGCATACAATAATTCAAGGTTCACGCAATGTCACTCTAAGGTCATAATCTTGGGTGTCCAAAGGTACCATGTCTTAAGGAACAATGCACAATCCAATCACTCAACGTGTTGACTCATGACATAGCCCTCCCAACATTTTGTTGGCGATATGGGTGGGATGATTGTTATTGATTTCGAGATAGAAGCCTAGTGCTGGCAACCCCTAGTCAATGAGCCAATCCCTAAAGGTTAAAGTGTGCTATGATTATGCATGATGCAATGTTGCTTGTTTGATTTTTACTATTGTGAAAAAGGAAGATATTATGCGTTCGAGTCTCGCTCTCTAACTAACACTACTAAAAATTAATGTTTTTGTGACCGCCTCTAACGATCGCAGAAAATAGAAAAAATGGTTGCAGTTTGTAATTGCGACCGTCAACGGTCGTAAAGGGGTGGTCGTTATTTACTTGATCGCAAAAAATTATTACGACTGTGTGACGGTAACAGATTTATTGCGACCGTTTTTATTATTTTCAACGACCGCAAGGAAACGGTCGTAAATATGAATAATTGCGATTGGTAAAAGAAGCGGTCACAATTTTGGAAATTAGTGACCGCTTTTGGCCGTCCTAAAAGTTAACAAAAAAAAACAGAAAAGAAAGAAAATACACACCCACCCCTACTGTTCACAACCACTTCTCACACCCAACCCAACTCCACCCAAATCTGAACTTCCTGTACTTCACAGCCTACCCCACCACCATTGCCCACCCTAAAACACCACCAATCACCACCCTCGCCAGCTTTTAACCACCTTTACCCACCACCACCACCACCACCCTTCTTTAACCCAAAAAAAAACGTTTAGATTTATCAAAAGACTAAACTCACAAAAAAACAAACAAAAATTACCCGCAAAGTTTCGAACAAAAATTACACAAATCGAACCAGAATTTGAACAAAAATTAAATCAAAATCAACAAAAAAAAATTCGAACATAATCAAACACATAAAAACTAACAAAAATTTGAATAAAATCGAACAAAAACAAACCCACAAAAAACTAACAAAAATAAAATAAACCCACAAAAATAAAACCCATAACAAACAAAAATCACACAAATTTCGAACAAAAATCAAACCAATACGAACAAAATCAACAAAAACCAAGGAATACAAAGTCAACGAAAACCCTCAAAGAATATTAACAAGTAAATTCGAAAACAAAATCAACAACACCACCTTAACCCATCCTTAAAAATCGAACAAAACAAACGAAAACTCAAAATCAAAATCACACCCAAAATAAATGAAATTCGAACAATTTAAAAACTCAAACAAATTTGGAACAAAAATGAAAATAAATACAAACAAATAAAATTTTTGGAAAAAAAACACCATACCGTTCCTAATACGTCTTCCACTTCTTCCTCTTTGGGGTTATATGATTAAATTCGACCACAAAAACTCCAGATCTGGAATTTTTATGGTCGAATTTGACCATGAACACCAAATTCATTTTTTTCTCCAATTTAGTACAGAGGGAGGTGAAGAGCGTGAGAAAAGAGAAGAAAATAAGGTTACAAATAAAAAAAATTCCTCCAATTTAGTACAGATTCGAAATCATAGAGGCATTTTTCAGGATTTATTTTAGGAGTGCGTGTGTGTGGTGATGAGTAGGGTGGAGGAGAGAGAGAATTCACGAGTAGTTTGCTTTGTTTGATTTTTCGGCAATGAAAGTCAGAAAATAGGAGATGAGAGTGAAAGAGGAGAATGAATTAGAGAGAGGAGGAACTTGAGAAAGAAGAGAAAAAAAAAAGAGGAGATAAAGAAAATAAAGGAAGAGAGGCTGTGTAAAAAAATTAGGGTTAGTGTGAGTTGGAAGTTGGAATTCCTTTTATACCTTAATTTTAAAAATTAATAAAAAAACAATTACGACTGCTAAAACGGTCGCAAAATTAGAAATCTGCGAGCGTTTCAGAGGCGGTCGCAATTTTTTATTTTTTTATTTTGAATTATTTTCCTTATGGTTTATTTTTTATAAAGAAATTATTCAAATACCATTATGATATTTAATAAGTAAAAAACAGTCGCAAAATTACGACCGCCTTAAAAACGGTCGTAAAATTGCGACTGTCTTTAAATCGGTCGCAGATTTCTAATTTTGAGACCGTTTTAATGACGGTCGTAGAAAAACGGTCGCAATTTGACTGAATTATAGTAGTGTAATCTTGTAACCTCTAAGTCCCCAATGGAGTCGCTACTGTAAGGAGGGTGTTCCCATCGTAGGGGATCATTCTCCTTAGATGCCCATGGCCCTTTAAAAGCCTAGGACTTTACACTTGTTAGGATGTATTAGGATTTGAACTCTTGATTTTTTGGGAGACCTTGAATTAGAAATGATACTCTCATCACCTTTTTTTGTAAAAAACTAGGAGTCACCAATGAGTTTTAGGAACACTCATAAACCTTATTCATGACTTTCTCCCAAGTAGAGTTCAAGGGATAATTAGCACGAATCGTATGTTTACCCATTCCCAAATTGGTCTACATTTACCAGAAAAGAGTTCGGGAGCGAGGGTACTAAAATAACGTTCCTTTTAGGGCGGAATCGCTATTCTAGCCCTAGTTACAACCTCTACTAGCTCTTCCTTTTTCACAATTTCATTACCAAACAATATATGCAACGTGATACCT